GGAATAATGTGGTAAGTCTTAAGAATATACTAGCCCGTATAAAAGTTGGTGATTGTGGATAACATATATATCCATATGTGCAAATGTATGTACCAGTGCTGTGATCTGTAAAGAATTTTGATAAATTCATTAGTTATGTTAAGTCTCTCCACAACATACCTTTTCCATAAACTGTATTCACTGAATTTTCACAGTTGAAATCACGGACTGATCTTAACTAGACCACCAATGAAAACCCAGAAGGATTGAACAGCCATCTCGTCTTAGTATGGAACTCCTTAGCAGTTCGCGTCTACAACCTCGCACTCAGGAGTTAAACCTAAGAAATTTGGTCACACACTTGAACGCTTAACCTCTAGATCACTGAAAACAATATCCAAAAATGTTAATGTTCTAATTTAATCAATCGATTTACAGAAGCTGCTTTCTAACTGTTGGGATATTCAGGAAAATATCCCAAAAAATTATCCTGTTAAGGCTAATGCTATCCTTGGACATGAAATGGTATCATCTTATTGGTCAATATTTGTTTAACGTGTCATTTTCCTACTGGCCATTATTGTACAATGTTATTTTCTATTTTGTGGTACGTTGTGGTCTGCTTGACTGATATATAAACAAAGTATGTTTGAAATATAATGATTCATATCTCCGAGGCTGTGACTTGTGTTCTGGACTCAACTGGCTGGGTTAGATAGGGAGGCGAGACCAATCAGAACCCTAGGCTGTTCTACGTGTTTCTGCGTCTTTGGTCCGATCAATAATTCGCTACCCTTAATCCGCAGCATCATTTTCACGTCATAACACTAACTGACTAAGAAAGGATTGGAAATTTGTTGTGTTTGTTATCAGTTCATTCCTATATTGTACTCTTACTCAAAACTTATCTGAAAGTTATTTATAAAAAAACAAAACAAGAATTTATAAATTTTTCAACTATTCCAAATGATTCTTTTATTTTCAATTTAGATTATAATAAATAGATAATGCAGTTTATTTTAATGCATAAAAAGAATTGAAAATTGAATAATCCTTATTTATCTAGGTAATATCAAAACGTTTTTGTTTTACTCTTAATTTTTAAGTTGAAAGAATAAAATTATATTCAAATTCATCTGTAGAAAAAATAAGAGACTATTATATTTAGACATTTAGATTTGAAGTGTGTTTTTTTTCTTCTATAAGAGATTTGTGAAAATGTTTATTTTTCATGTTAAATGACAGCCGAAAGGAAGCAAATGTTTGACTACCTTAGTAACAGAAAACTAACAATATTATATTTGTATCAAATATTTAGTAAATAACGAAAAAAAATTAAGAAACATATCTGAAGTTTTTTTTAAAAAAGAATTGCTAGTTGTAATGGTTGATAGAGTATTTGAAAGTAAAATTCTTTGTGAAACAAAAATCAAAGTAAGAATTTGACCATAGTCTACAGAAAATGCGAAAAAAAACATGCAAACTGTTTAAAAAATAAATGCTGATTATAATTAAATCTATTCATGATAATTATATATATATATATATATATATATATATATATATATATATATATATATATATATATATATATATATATATATATATATATATATATATATATATATATATATATATAGGATAGGTTGATTATATGGGAGATTTTTCAGATATTCTTTTGTAAACAATATATTCAGTACATAAAGTCGAAAATGTCTTATGATGCTTAATAATTTGTTACCAAATAGAGGAACAAAAGAAAATTTCATATGATTAATAATATTTCAAATGGAAATACCATCTTTTTTCATCTTAGTCACTGTTTTCTGAGTGCTTTGCATGATACCGTTCTATGTTTTATGTGAGGATAATTAAAAGTTCATGTTTTTTTTGTGGTAGAACTATATTTTAAAATTGGGGTAGTTATAAAGAATCTAGTGTTACTAAAGTTTTATTGACGATGACATTTGATACAAGACACCTCATTGGTCAGCAAACCTGTTAAGGATCCACATGGATTAGTACTCTTAAACTAGGAAGAGGCATATATCTAGTGCTATCCGGTTTTTAATGATCCTCTAGCTAATACACATCTTACAGGGAAACTATACTTACAATAAACTAATATCCACTATTTAGTGAATTACCTAACAAAAACATGTATATATGTATATCATATCTCATAGAATTCCATGCGCTAACAGATTCACTTTATAATACTGTTAGAGAAACATAGATTGGCATAAAGCACATTCCATGCAGGATTGTCTTAAGGCACGCTGATTGGCTATTCCTTACCCAATCAGCGCTAGTAGATACTTGAAGAAAACTCTAGAATCTTATAATCTGAAAACTACAAATTTACTAACATTTTTCTTATTGTGCTTTTTACTTTTATCTGCCCTCGTTATTTGGATTATAATTTGGTTCCTGTTCAATGGTATTCGGATTTGGAGACCTGCCGAGTGAAGTAGTGTCCAAGAATACTAAGCAAGAGGAGAAGCTGGGTCATAATATGAGAAATTATAGCAAATACCAACTGTATTATTCTTATTTGTACATTCAAACCGTTTATGAATTTTACTTATACATTTGAACAAACAGTTTGAAATATTTAGGCTATAACTTTAAAAGAAATCACAATTATTTGCAAATAATGAGTAGTATCCTGTATCATTGTTCAAAAAACGTCTCATTTAGCATTCATTTAAAACAGATAGTTTTAAAATTTTGGGTTTCATGGACTAAATCAAATATGTACACAAAGTAACAGCATATTTCAAATTGTCAAATATTCTTACTGCATGTTGTATACTGTCAATGAATAAAAAAACTGAAACACTTTTAAACACTGAAAGCTAGTGCAGCATATGAACTTTATGTCATACATAATCAAAATTAAAAATTCTCTACTCATTTCCGGTTTTAACCCATCTAACAGAGAAACTGTTTAAAATAATAATAAAAGAACTATAAACGAATGGTTCATATTATTCGTGACCATTAAAATTAATTCATATATATATTACAAAATTAAACAGAATGAAACTTCACCTAAATTTGTTTAAAACAACAGAATATTTATGGGAAACTGAATTCAAATAAAATTTATAAAATGACCTGTAGGTTTTTACATAGAAACAATGATCCTTCATTGTTTAAATAATAATTTGATATAAAACTGGTATTCTATACTTTTGTAATTTCGTTCCTGTTAGACTTCATATTAGAAAAAACAATTTCATCTTCTAGAATTCCATATATATTCATCATATATTAATAAACTAATTAAAAGTAAATTAAAATAGTTTCGAAATATATCAAAATGTAAAACATTCGAACTAGTTAAAGTCTTTAAAAAACAGTTTATCCTTAAAAAAAATCTTGTTCTGAATAAACTAAGGTGAAAATAGATTACAATTGAAAGATTTTAATATGTAACAGAAGGGGTTTTGTGGAGATTGTAGTAATTTCAACAGTTGAGATCATGAGTCAATTGAAGCTAGACCACCATGGAAAACCTAGAAGCATCGGACGGCCGTTTCGTCCTATTGTGGGACTCCTCAGCAGTGCGCATCCACGGCCCCACCTCGCGGGATTCGAACCCAGGACCTATCAGTCTCGCGCTAGGATCGTGGATACGCACTGCTGAGGAGTCCCACAATAGGACGAAACAGTCGTCCAGTGCTTTCAGGTTTTCCATGGTGATCTAGCTTCAATTGACTCATGATCTCAACTTTTGAAGTTTTAATGTGTATTTTCTATCATCTTAAAAATGAATTATATCACAAATTTTAAAAGTGCCTTTTTATTCAAAGTTCACTTAATCAAATGCTATGTAATAACAATGAACAGAAAAAACAAGAAGAAATTTGTGCTCAACAAACATTGACATTATCATAATGTTACAAAAAGGAGAATTTACGATTGTATATATGAAACTATATTTTTATTAAAAATTAAAAGCAAAGGATAGACATTAATATTGTTGAATGTCAACTCAGTGGTCTAGATGTTAAGCTCAAGTTGTCCAACGTTCATTAACAGCATTCATAATGTTTTAGCAGTGAGAGATATTTGTATTATTCAAACGGGCTGTGTAACAATAGACAGAAGAGTATAAAATAAACAACCCTATGATCATTTCAATACATTTCCATTAATTTGTAGCTTTATAATAGATTTTAAAATTATCGGGTATTGATTTTAAGCACCATTTACTATGGTTTATGAAGCGAATATTTTTCTGATAGAAACAGAAAATGTAGAAATATAAATTTCGTACTTTGAGACATTGCATGATAACTAAAACTATTCTGATATTATGACCAAGGTGGCGAGACTATAATCTATGGATGAACCAATCAGATCTAAGATATCAGGTCTTGGACTTTGGCGCATAATTCATTCATTCATTTGGTTAAATAGCGTTTTGGTATTTTAGCTTATATCACTTCGTAATGAAAACCTTTAATCTAGTTCCTAACCCTAACCATCAACTGCAAATCCTTTTTCTAATTTCTCACATTGTTTTGTAATCTTCATTTCACCCTAGTTAATGTGCGGACATTCTCAAGGTCACATTAGCGTCTCTCAAATGTAGTTGATAAATTATAATCTCACCCTTGAAATATCTCAATAAGTAGAAAATAAAATTTCTAATATCTTATTACTCAGTGAATTTATTCTACGAAGAAATGCTTTATATTGAGTCATGAAATATCAAAAATCTCAATTTCTACTGACATGGATACTTCAAACATATCATTATACTTTTATTAACAAAACTATATCATTTTAAGGTCTATAAACTTGATTCAGTTTCATGTCAGATATCATGGATATTAACTTTTAGCATAAAATTGAATATATCGGAAAATATTGTTTATAGAATTTAATCAAACATATTACGTGAAAATATATCAGTTGTTCAACCAGATATCACATGGAGATTTGTGATTGTTGTTCGTCATATTTAACAAGTTCATATCACTTAATATTAAACAACTAAATCACAAGTCTTCCAAGTTTCTCCGGAATATAGAATTATATCTATTAGTTTACAGTGTTGGTTATTATTATTATTATAACACTGGCTTACCATGATCTGTTTATTCAAAAGTGATGTTAAAATATTTCTTATTATGAAGTATTTAAATATATCCATATATTGGGAACCAACAAAGTTGTATCGATGATACTATACAATCTTTTCTTAAACTTCAAGAGGTCATATACATTAAGTTAATGGAAAAGAAGCAATAATCCAAAGTGAAATAAAGTTAAATGATTTAAACTTAGCCTGAAATGTCTGTAAGTCGATCAACTTTCTCATATATAGTATGTCCGTGTTGTATTATTATTTTACGATATTTGAGGAAATTGGGTTACAAATGAAATCGACTTGTTTTATTTAATAAGTATTTTTTCCCTTAGTAAAAGAGGAATAGGTGAGTGGGTGTGAATAAAAAGAGAAAAGATAGGTAGATGTTAGATAGGCAGACAGATAGAGTAGATCAAGGTTAGAGAAATATTGATTGATGTACAATTAAAGCAGATAGTAAAGATGAACATACCATGCTCACATACGATTGGGTATTGAAAATTGATTGGTGTGATTTTAAAAGCTTGGATATAAGGTGGCTAACTGAATTGCTTCTGTAATACTCATGCATTATTATGATAACAAATGAGATGATGAAACGTGTGTCTACTACTCACCAAAACGTATAATTTTCGAGAAAAGAATCTTAATGATGTGATGTTGCCTACGCAACTAAAATACTATTGACTATCACTATCCAATCTCAGCATAGTTATTCTGAAACTTATTAAATATAAAACCCAACTTCAAACCAGTTGTATCATTAATTAATTTTTTTGAGTTACTGACTTTCACAACAAAATGCTACAAGAATATTTTTTGTTCTTAATAATATCTCATGGAACTTTTGCATATCCCAATCAAAAAATAAATATGAGATTCATATGCCAGGAATAACAACAATAATGGTGATTGAAATATTGACATTTTGATTACATAAATATTTTTTGTTTTTAGGACGATGAATATTGGTGTTATTCACAGAAAATTGAGAATGAAACATATTACATAAGTGAGTATGATTTATTCAGCATAACTCAGTTTTGTAATTATCTAAAATACTATTTTTCTGGTTAGCGTTTTTTTAGCGAGTTAGTTTTCTACAGGATGGGGTCGCTAATCCTATGCCCAACCCTCCTCCTTTATCCGAGCTTGGGACCGGCAGTAGCCCCCAGAGGGACTCCAGGCGGAGTTAAAAATATTATTGATGAATTATTAAATTTTAGCGTTAGTATCGACAAAAATTATGTAGAAATTTAAGAAAAACAGCTAACAAAAAAAATCGGGGCACCTGGTATATCTCAGTATCTTTTCTTAAATTGTTTTCAAAGACTTTTACGGATAAATGTATTGTAGCTTAATTATTGTTTACTTTGTTTGAAGGCTTCATCCATTTATCTTACATTCCCTATGTTTAAACTAAAGGATGGTAATATAAATTATTGAGTAACGGTGTTTCTAATCTAAACTTTCAGTGAAATCAGTTATATATTAATAAGAGTGGAAGGTTTTGCTATCTTACAATTTTGATGTGTTTTTTTCTTATCAAATACCAAATTCTACTGTAGTATCTTCTCACCGGTTCTTAAGACCTGTCCGGTATGTGAGAATGTTTTACTGGTCACCGAACATGTAATTGGACATCGAATGGTACAAGGTAATTAAGTTTATCAGAGAAGAAATTCGAATAACGTACCTCGATATAGCGGATTTTCGCAGAATGCTGGAATTATCCACAACCGTCTATTATGAGCATGTTCAAGATAACTCAGTCTAAAATCCCGGATGAAAAACAAAGTTATGATAAGATTTAACAGTAAACAAGTGCTAAATCGCTTCTTAATATCTCAATAGAAGAAAAACAATCAAGAGTTAAATCTTCTCTACAGATTATTCGTTTCAGGTGTTTAGTACATTCCTCATTAATTTTTCTCTGTTCTTCAAAAGTACAACTATGTGAATTTCAACTTTATAGGATTGGATAGGATCAATCTCAATGTTCTGCTGAATGTGATTTAGGTTAAAAACCATTTTTTACCAAACTGATTTCACTGATTACAGTTGTTTGATTATTTTGTGTGTTTGTTCAAATTAGGGGATTTTCGATCATTATTTTAACTGGAAAAATTATTGATATAGCTACTTGTGTTGACCATGTAAAACCAGTAACTGACTGAAGAGAGTGAAAACAAAAATTTTAACCGAATAGCACGAATTTTTTTATGTTTCGTCTGGTTTTCGTTAGCTGCTTACAAGCTATCATATTCGGAAATAATAATTACAAACTGGATACAAATTGTTTCCATGTAACAGTTTTGGTGGAGGTTGCGATGATCACACATCAGTGTAGTATAGCAAGCGTATAAACAAATTTAACGGATCAAATAAAATTTGATAAATATATACGTTATATGACAGAACATTCTACAACACAGATAATAACAAGTCCAGAAGGCTAGAAACAAGTGGTTATATAAAAAATAAACATTAATAATAAGTAAGAATAAAATCAGTAAACTCACCTAAATGAAATTAATCTAGAGGGCAGTCGAAATAAAAAAGGTCTAGTTCAAATCAATATTTGACTTCATCTACATCAAAGTTGAATATTCTATCTAGAGAACATCTAATAGCTTTAAAAAACATCAAAAAAAATGCTCAAGTAATGATCTTACGATCAAGATATGAATTCAGGTATCGTCCGAATGAACACAGTTGATTGTATCACTGTAACAAAGTAAATCCCAGACAAATATAACAAAGATTTAACTGATTTAACGAAAAACCAATCAAGAGAATGCTTAAACAAATTCTTAAGAAGGATTTGATTTCTATTTCAAAACAGTCTTGTTTGAAAGTTGAATTTTAAGACAATTTCACAGAAATTACAAACATAAATCGTAGTTGCATCATTTAATAGTTAATTTAAGAAAATAAAAATTATCCTCGATTGCCTCAGATTTTGTAATACACTTCTGTTTATCTCATATATTTTCTAAACTTGTAGAATTAATCCTAATTGTATGGAACATTTCTACACATTAAATTTACAATATCATAGCTAATATTGTTGTGTTTTCGCTTTATGGTAGTGAAAAAACCAAGTTATTTAATTAGTGTTCAATGTGTTTCTTCTTGTCATATTGTGACCATCAATCTACTTAGCTAATTAATTTAATTGAGAAGTTGTGGAATTCAATGCATTAATGTTATGTAATTTGTCTGTTGAAATATATCAATAGTTGAAATCATGAGTCAGTTTAAGCTAGATCACCATGGAAAACCTGGAAGCGCTGTACAGCCGTTTCGTCCTAGTATGGGACTCCTCAGCAGTGCTCATCCACGATCCAGTCTGCCGAGATTCGGACTCGCGCGCGAGCGCTTAACCATTAGACCACTGAGCTGGCTGGCATCCAACATTTTTAATGTCAAACTTCAACTAATCCATGAAATATATATGATAACTTTGACATTTCGATGGTAGATTAATGAAGTAGAACTTTATAGGTTTTGTTTAAGATCAATCTGGGTACTCTACTAATTGTGGTTTATGTTAAAAATCATCTGTTAATGAAACTTAGTACTCGGATAATAGTTGTTTGATCATTTCATGTGTTTGTTCAATTTAGTGAATTGTTGATCATTGTTTGAACTAGAAACAACCTATTGATATTGTTACTTTTTATGACTGAGTTAATTCAGTTGTTTTATGTTGATAAAACTGTTATGATTAAATGGAAAAAAGTGGGCAGAACAGCTGAAGATAATGGATACATCATTCAATATATTTGAATTGTATTTTGTTATTTATCATTCACTTACCTGGTTAGTTGTCATATTTGAGCACAGTAAACTCGACAGTATCTTGGATAGAATAAAGAACTTGTTTATATATATATATATATATATATATATATATATATATATATATATATATATATATATATATATATATATATATATATATATATATATATATATATGACAGTACTATTAATTATCAGAAGGGGGTTTTGTGGAGGTTTTAGTAATTTACTAGTTGAATTCATGAGTCAGTTAAAGCTAGATCACCATGGAAAACCTGGGCGCGCACTGCTGAGGAGTCCTATAGTGGGACGAAATGGTCGTCTAGTGCTTCCAAGTTTTTGCATAGTGGTCTAGGTTTAATGGACTCATGAACTGAACTATTGACATACTGTTGATGCTTCATTTAAACTTCTACAATTTACACTTCACCGAAATGCAGTTTACCAGTCAAGATGTTTAATTTATTTCGTACTTATCAGATATTTAAAAACATAAGACAAGGAACAACTGTTCAAAAAGCTACATATTTAATTGTTTAAAGATAGATGTTTATAAGAAATTGAATCCTTTTATATATGCATCAAACCAGTTATATTTTCCAAATAAGTTATTTTATAAGTAATTTGATTCAGATTCGTCAGTATTACTCTTCAGCTGTAAAACAGTTTACGTAGATTTACTTGAATAAAATGGGAAAATGCTACACAATATGTTTTGTAACTCTAAGGATATGTCAGCAAATGTTTTACTTGTAAAACTACTTTACTACTAAACAAATGTATTTTGAAAGTGTAACAAATGGCAATGAACATCAGTTCAGTGTTGGTGCCCCATGGCTACGTAACACTGAAAGCCTTAACTGCATTGCGATTTTGTCACTGTTATTTCATTACTTATGTAAACATTCCCAAAATGTCACTTTTCAATAAAAGCTTTGTATAGAAATTAATATATGTGTGTTTATGAGTAGTACCTTTGGTATACGTTTATTATGCGTCTGAACATAATGATATTCTATTAGATAAATGTACTACCCCATAAGTAATTAACTTTTCTCTGATACGTTTTAACTAACCTAGAATTCTATTTGACAGGTAGTAACAAACAAGGCTTTTTACTTACGCAAACATTTTACTTGAGTATTTGCTTATAACAATACTTTCATGATTCAGTGGTGTCTGTCGTAAATAACGAACACCAGTCAGAAAACCTCTGGAAGGTAGCAAATACAGGATGGCTGTGATGTCATCACTTTAGAAGGCCCTCACGTGAGAGTAAATCTAGTTACTATATGCCTAGTGATATCCACGATACCACTGAATGAGGGTCTGAATCTGATGGTGAACATCATTGAGATCTACAAAATAATATGAAATAACTCTGTGATACAAATTAGTTGACGGCACTTCTATAAATGACATCATTCCTTGATGACAAATATTTCTTATACTCTTTTCTCCAAACATGTGTTTCTGCAGAATAATGATTCAAACGTTTTTCATAAAGTTTACGACACTTAAAGTTTTATTCTCCTAAATAATTACTCTATGCGTATTTTTAAAAATATACTCCAGCTGAATTCAAGCCTGTTTACGATCCTACTCTTGTTCATCATCTTATTTTGTTCGGATGTGAGGAGCCAGGAAGTACAGAAGGTTTATGGTAAGTAAATTTAATATTTACCGTTACTATTCATTATAACAATGTTATTTGGAATAAAAAACATAGAATTTCTTCAAGTTTTTTTAAAAATTGAAATTTCATTTTTCACAAATTACAATAACTGTTAAGTGGTGAAAATGAAAGTTTTTACTTAATTACAGACGGTTTAAATAAGAATGGATGCATTTCCATCTAAAGGAGTAATATAAAAGATGAGTCAATTACAATCGAGTAGACGACTTTCGAATTACAGTTCAAAATTCAAAATTGAATGACTTTCATCACATAAGGTTCGTGAAAAAAAACTTTTTCTCAGTGTTGATTTTATCAACATCAAATAAAACTGGCGATATTAAGTGTGCCAAGTGCTCAATTTTACATATATAGATTTTGCATAACATGTAAATCAGTTGGTTTTTAGATTGATATCATGAATGAATCGATGTTAGACCACCATCGAAAACCTGGAAGAATCGGACGGCCGTTTCGTCTTAGTATGGTTTTTGTTTTAATTTACCTTATAATAGACTCTCAAAAATCCATAAGGTTCTTTTTAGAGTGTGTTCACATATAGTGAGATTATTTCTATAATGTTAAGATCAGCGTACTGATAGAAAGCCTTGAAAAACCAATAGACTTCCTAAAAGCTCTGAATGTTAACAGGCCTCATTATTTCTGTTACGAAATACTCTTTTCTACTTATTGGCTTCAAAATCATATGATCACTTTAAAAATCATTCAAGATCGTCCCTATGCTTTACTTTGATCCATTTTTACAATAGTAAGCAAAAATTAGTTTCCAGAAATTCGGGTAAATTTATTTATCAGACATAATAAACCGACTTTTCTCTTAATCACATATAAGTCATACTTCAATGAAGAAAAAGTTAGTTAAATGCATACAGATATATGACATCTTTTACATATCTGAATATTCGATAGTAAAAAATCATACGATTGAAATAACAATTCATCATATTCCATTTCATAATCATTGATACTTTTTCATATTGTTCAAGATATGTTTAGACATTTAGAGTATAGGTTTCTTTCAAGATATAATTCCGCGAGCGGGATCGTGGATATGTACTGATGAGGAGTCCCATACTAGGATAAAATGGTCGTCCTATACTTCCAGGTTTTCCATGTTGGTATTAGCTGTAATCGACTCATGAATTCAACTATTAAATGTTCTCTGTCACAAAACAAATCAGTTATTTTTCTTTATAAAGCATCTAAGGTCAAAAACGATCATTTATTACTGTCACTTCAGTTATCTCGTATTTCTTTAATCATTCTTCTACATTATTCTCTTAATAAAAACAAAGCCACTTGAGAAATATGTCACCAATTAAGTTTTTTTAAGTGGAAAAAGAAAGGATTTGATTTGAATCAATCGCTTTTCAACGACAACTAACGGCTTATTCTTAACATGAACAGAGATAACCCTACAAGTATTTTCAATTAATTGAACTTTCGTTTTTTATGAAGCACTAAATTATTAAAACTTTAGTCTGCTTTTGTTGAACAAAATTGATTATAGTTTGTTCTCTTAAAATAATGGGTGTCCATATGGATTTAATTAGTTATATAATGTTTTCTTATTTTACAGTAGATAAATTTCTTACTTCAAGTGTTCTGTTTTGTTTTAAATCGTGCAAAGAATAGATTATACGTTTGTTTAATGTTTAAATTGTATGTGAACACGTTTCAAAACAATGAATAATTGATAATGTATGAGTTGATATTGAAGGTAGAGTTATAAGATGGTGGTTGGAGGTAGTCAACAGGCAGCTCTGGACATAAGTTTCGTGCTGCTTGGCATTTGTCAGCAAGGTGTACCTGTAATCTTGAAGGAACTGATGGTCCTTGACGGACTTGATCTCGCGTCACTCAGCTTCACAGTCAGAAACGTTACCGCTGGCCACATTGCAACTTGGTTGATAGGATTCTGTTTGCATTAAGATGGACCTGACATACATGACATTGATCACCACCCAGGGATCAATCAATTGTAAACGTCGAATTATCTCTACCATAATTTCGATATACACTTTTGAAATTATGCAAGTATATGTAGACAAACTGTACATTGAATTATCCATTTGATTATCATTTAGTTAATGAAAACTGTTCAATGAAGAAAAACAAATTTTCTTCCATTAAAATCATTTTCTTGAGTTGTACAGTCGTATATTTTTTTCACGTAGTTGTCTATAATAAAATAGACAAATATTAAACCATTAAATAAATTATGAAAAATAATCAAGCGCATTGTAATATCCAATATAAAAGTCTTCAGGAAATGAAATGGTGTTACACCATTTAATGAAGTAAACAAAGATTATCAGATTTCAAGTGTTAACTATAATAGTTCATAAATAGAAGGGTATTATTCCAAAATAAATATAGTTATAGATAGTCTTCAAGTATTGCACAAAAGGGATGGCATATCATTTAGCGAAGTGGTCAAAACTTATCAAGGAATTAAGTTATGTAATAGTTTCGAAGGTGATGAGATACGACAATCTATGCAAACATTTCAAAAGATAACTGTCCACTTTCCTAATGAAATGATGAAGTATAAGATAGTAAATGGGACTTAAAATTTGTAAGATTAGGAGGAGCGATAAAGCCATGGAACGATAAACGATGAAACATGACTGTTTTGAAAACAGATGTCATTACCGTAGAATGAAATGTCACATCTACTTTATGCCAAGTTTGTCTCAAAGTTCAAGAATTATGACCATAGCAATCAGCTAACCTTAATTTTATCTTCATAATTCATTTCTGCAGCAACGGGACAAAAACATATCTTGTTTCCTAAAATTGTTGACATTTTTATGAATTGCATTGAACATTTAGAAAAATTATATTTAAAGCCCTCTAACAAGCGATTATCACTGAATCAGTAGAAATGTATAATATGAAATTATTTATTAAGAATATGCAACATAATTAGAGCATTCTTTTGATTTGTTAGTCTTAATTCACCATTAAATATCCAAAAGAAAGTGAATACACAGGGGGTTAGTCGCGACCCGGATAGCCCATTGGTAATATCTCTGACTGAGGACCTAGGTGGCACAAGATTGTATCCTCCAGGAATCATCAGTTTCCTCAAGATTATAGGCACATCTTACTGACGAGTGCCAAATAGCATGAAACCTAGGTCCAGGGTTTCCTGTCGACTACCTCCAACCACGACATTGCTATATAGCACAATAGTTTTCTATATTGGAAGTCGTCATTCTAAGTATAAGGCATGGATGAATTATAGATATCTAGTCATTGAGAAATTGTTGTAGAATTGGTAATTAGAGAGTTATTATATTTTATGAAAGATATAAATCAGGGTGTACAACAGTTATTATATACTTATTTTTTTATCAATAAAACAAAAGTTGTCTTCGAGTTCTCTCAGTTAGACAGTTTAATCTCGGCGATTTTATCGTCGCTTGGGACAAAACTATCTGAGCCTATTTCAAGTACAAGTGGGTTTACTTATTCCATAATCGTTAGTCAGTTCGCTTTAGTGGTTGATATATAGCATTCATTAGGTATCTCTACGCTTTTTATCACTCTCTACCTACTAAATCTGCCGTCCATGACCAATTACTGAATATTCATCGCTTATCCATATTCTATACTTTGAGTGACACCCATACATAGCAAACTGTAGTATAATGTATTCACTGGTAAAGTTGTCGTACTATACAGAAAAATGTATTTAGTCCCCTCACTTGCTTCTTCTACCATTAGTTCACAAAACTTATTGGAAAATCGCGAAATAGTAAAAAAAAAATAAGGAATGGTGGATACTGAAATACTTACTGTAACAATTTGCCACATGTTTTGACCCAATTTTTATTTATGTGATGCTTAATTTCGGAGTTTACAATAGCTATCTATTATTAGTAATATAATTCATAACTTGCTAATTGTGACATTTTTGACATGTCCTTGCTCCTAATTGAATATTACCAGTCACAGTTTCTAAGATAGTGAACAACCGACATTCCATATATAAAAAAGCGGAAGTTTTATTTATGAAATCCTCACTAGAATATAAATTTAAAAATCAGTAAACTTAAGCTGACTACCTATTTAAGAGCTTTAATTTGTTTTGACATAGAAATGTTTAACTTATTGTAGGAAATGTGGTGAGATGTCGGATGACGAAACACCTGTGTGTAATGCATCTGAGTCTATTTTGTACTCTTGGGCTATGGGAGCTCCGTCCTTTGAAATGCCTGACGGTATGTTGTTCAGATTTATATTAAACTATTCACATTGTAAGACATATATTTCAGATATTTATATCAGTTCGATATATTTCCATTGTTTTCAAAGTGTGAGACGTATTTAAAAGATCTTTTACTTGTTTTTGGAATGCAAAGTCAATAACCAAATAATGATGGACATGGTGTTGCATTTCATTCAAGAAACATTTAACTACAGTTAGTTCATAGTGTATGACATTAGTAGCGTTAAGAAAACTTGTACTTCCTATGATTTATGGATTTACAAATTGTACAATACCTATAGTGATAAGTCTTGTCGATCGAACGCTATATTCGTTTTCCTAAGCTATTCTGGTAACCCGCAGACTAGAATTACACAGCGATTTGAACACCAGAGAGAAGACGCAAGTATGAGAGAAAATACTTTATCTCAAGGTTCATTTTTGTACAGGAAATCATGGGTATTTATAGATGTTGGCGTCTGTTAAATCAACGTAATATTTCAGCCAATCCGTTAACGACATATTATGCTACCGACCAATAGTAGTACGCCACGTTGGGATTCTAGAATGTTCCATCATACTCTAATTGGCTAGGACTCTCCGGCTCCTTTTGGGCCTCTGGAAGCTCCGTTGAAGTTCTCCGGAAGCCGACTCAACATATAGTCAGAACCATTTGCAGTATAACTGAGGAAACGTAACTATTCTGATCAGTGATTCTTAAAACTATCCCATTGTTTGTATACGTGATAACATTATTTGTCTTTACATGTTCGTGAATTCAATTCCTTCTCATATTCATACGTATAAAAATTTCTATTTAATTTTGTCAAAAAAGGATCTGTATTTCTGTGATCAAATCACGCTATATATTGTAATGTTATTAATTGACAATGATATTCTAATCCGTTTTCACCAATGATAACCAAGAGGGAAACTATTGAACCATTCAACTGCTGAAATGGTTGAAAAATTGTATATTAGAAAAAATACTTGTCCGAATTGTAAAATTAAAATGCAAATCCGACGAAAATAATCTTTTTTTACAGTTTTGAACTGTTGAATTCAAAATTACACAGTCAAATTGATAAGTAAAGTTGTATAACAAGATAAGAATACAATCAGTTCAGCATAAAAGTTGACTATACGGGTTATAAGTTCTAGTTGTTCAACATTGATGTATTAAGATAATCTAAAATATAGTGAAACCTAAGAAACTAGAATAATCAAAGAGAAAAGACAAACCGCAATAAAGTAACTAGATGACAATAAATTATGTATAAAGTTAGGAGAAAGATAAATAGTTCATCCATTTACTACATTATCATTATTATAGCTTACTTTCAATCATACTGTCATCATATGTTATTAAGTGGCCAGAAAGGTAATATCAGTGTTCACAGCTCAGGCCAATACAAATATAATTATGAGTATTTAAGCCTATATTATCTGGCCAACTTTGCATAGTTTGCGACTTATTGCTATTTTTATGCAATTTTGAATTTTCGGGAAACCGAGGATAATTGTGCATATCAAATTAATTGACCATCTTATCAACATGCAGTTTTGTAGTGCCATTTACTGACATGTTTTATTACGTTGTGATTAAAATTGAACTTTGATAAATCCAACTTTATATTTCAATATTGATCAATCAAAGCTCAAAATACATAATCAAATAAATTGGGATATTTTATGAATGGTTATATCATAAGTCCATAAGATATAGAAATTGAAGTGCTGAAAAGAATTTTCACACTAATTAACATTCAAATATCTCACTAGTATTATTGGCAGCCAATACTTTCTATGTCGTAGGAAGGAACTGTAGATTTCTCAAGTGATCGAATAATAAATAAAGATTCACTGCAGGAAAACTATAGTTTTAGAAGTTATATTTGATTAGTTTTCTTGTGTATCTTTAACGAAGATTTTACCTAAAATTCTGCTGAAGAATAGCTAGTAAAAATTTACTTTTTCTAAAAATATGAACAAACTATTGTAATTCAATAAAATACATCTGAATTATTAGATGTATTTAATCACATTATTTGGTGGAGTTTTGTACTCTGAGCTGGATGGTTTAGTCGTGAAGCTTTCATCGTTATTCTGAACAAAAACATCAGCACAAACTTCAGGTAAAACTGAAGTGTCGGAATTTCTCCACATATGGCTCACAGATTGTCCTGTAAACCTCGATGAATTAAGATCGATGTTCACAGGACAATCTGTGAGCAATATGTGGAGAAATTTGGACACTTCAGTTCTACCTAGATAGAAGTTTATCTATCCAGCTCAGAGAACAAAACTACCAAAATCATCCACCTGAGCTAAGAAACCTTCTCCGCCAATCACGTAATTTGCATAAGCGATTGGAGTGTAAAACTTTATATGAAAGACTTTATTTTATACAATTCACCAATGATTTTAACATCATTGCTCAAGTTAGATATTTGACAATGAATGTTTAAAATATTCACCGTGTATATGTTTACAAAAGATGTAAGAATCTTTGTTTTTTGAAAACGTCTGCTTGTATAAACGTATAAAATAGAAATGAAGCCATAGTAACAATTATATATCGGAGTTTACCGGTAACACTAATTTGTTTATAATGGTGATATTATTAAGAAATGCAATCAGCTGCAAAGCTGGTATGAAACCCCCAGCAATTTACGACAGTGACCTTCAAATTTCTAGTAACAAATAGAATACCGTTAAGCCTCTGAATATGAACTCGATGGTTTATATTTCCAACGATATATAAAGTCTATATTATCATTGTTAAATAATTTATCACTTCCAATATTGATGATTCTGTAGATCAATTCTATAAATTAATTATGTGATCTGTGGGCAAGAATGATAATGATTGGTTGTTTGCCTAGTCATACAGGCACGTTCAGGACACGTAAAAACATCAAAATCTAACAAAGACAAGATTTACAGTTAAGTAACCAATACTGTCTGGAAGATAAGTAAAAATGATTCAAAATTTCATATCACAGTCCTACTTAAATATCAAGTAAACAGTACAATAATAATCCATTAAATTCACTCAAATTACATAATACCATATACACTTGAAAAATCTAAAATCAAGTAATCAGTTTCCAGATTATTTCTTTAGGAATAAATAAATATTTCAGTGTTATTTATTTGAATCCCCGCCAATAGTAAACGTTATCATTTATTTTTTTGTTTCATCTTGCCTAGATGTGTCGTTTAAAGTTGGTTATGAAACGCCATATAAATATTTTGTACTACAAGTTCATTACAAAGATGCTATGAATTTAGACGAGAAAGATACAAGTGGATTAGAACTCACTACCCAGTCTACTCCGTATGTTTATAATTGTACATACATTTTTAACGAATCATTTATATAAATTTGAATGCTAATTTATGATTAAGTTTTATTACAGACAGATATAACTCAGGAGTACAATATCAGTATACACACAAAACGCAGCTAATAGCACTTAAGTGTCCTTCGAATACGTTTAAATACATTATGGAGCGAGAATCAATTTAATAAATCTTCATAAGTCTGTCGTCGCTGAACAATTAATTGCCTAAAGGATTGACGTTCAGATACCATATGAAAGAATTCTAGAGGGCAAAACCACGGGTCATTTAACAGAATATCCAATAGAGATTGAGGCTTATGTGAAGAGTATTCAACTTAGAGAGTATGACCAATACGATAACATGTGATGAATAAAGGATAACAAATACAGGTCACTAAACAATCTTCGCTTTTGTCTAACATATTAAAGTTTGGATCAATGTATACTGTGTCCCTATTAATTAGGTCAGTTATCCACTATCAGAAGTCAAAATATTACTGATAAACGCGGTCTAAATTCGTTTATACAAATGAATTTCTCAGCTTTATAAGAATTAATGAACACTTGAAAAAGTCTGTGAAGCATATATGGTAGTTTAAGGCTATTAGTCCCTTTTATAAATTTCGATAGACCAATGAGAAGACGGAGTTGATCTAAAAAGTGTAATGTAATTACGCTATATATTTCGAACAATCTGGTCACACATATACTTGTTAGGGCATTTTATCTGGAGATTAATGAAGGTCAATTAAATGAAATTTCAAGTTAATAAATTAATAAAGGGGAGAGAAAATTAACGTAGAATAGAAAGAATCAGAAATTATCGCATTATCCTAGGCCATAAAATGACTTAGGGATTATCAGAGTAAGTTCAAGGTTATGATAAATTGTTATTGTACACATAAGGGAGCTTCAAATTTACGAATACCCAAGACTTTCATAAACCTGGGGATTCATCCTTGACAATTTCCATACAACGTTTTAAAAGCTGGATTGATGTCAATTCTGTGCCTCGTTTCAATTATGTGTTTTGCTGTCGATGAACATGGTTTTTTACTTCCCACGTTGATCGCACCATTTGACATTAACTGGTTACTCTATCGAAATAAATAGTAGTAAGCTCTAAGAGTACAGAGACTGCTCTGTGTATTCTTCTTTAGTCGTCAATAATCGAAAATTTTCTGATGAACTCTACCTATGTCCACTAAATGTTTTTAAATTTCGTTTCAAAATGTCATGTAACAATTAATTTTTTCAATGTTATTTTAGGGACAAAATAAATTTTTTATTGATTACAACAATTACTATTATTTGATAGATTTTCGGCGCGCTTTAATCTACTTTATATAGGATTCTGTTAATTCTCCAGTGTAAATTAATCTCTTGGCAATTTTAATTGATGTATCAATTAAAACGCCGAATGATCCAGTGAGAAATAACTAATAGTAATATTGCCCCATCAAAGTTAATGGTGATGCCTATAAAGCAAACTAAACCATTATTAATATCTATGAGTTAAGTATTTCACACAGTACGCTAACCGTTTGATGCCTTGAAACATTAAATTGGAAAATCGATCCAAACTAGATATTGAATAAGGTTTCATGTTGTCAAAAACAGGATGCAAGTTTACATAGCTACCTTTAAAGTTTAGTTTATTATGACTTAAAAGGAAGAAAATTATTCTTCGTTTGACAATTCTACACAGTCTTTTCTTCGTCAACAAAGCTCATGTACAGTGGCGCAAGTGGTAATAGATAATATATTCTCTAAAAATTTTATGTTTCCTCCCGACTATACACTAGATAAAATGTTCGTCGGATTCATTTAGACTAACATTCAATATGACAGTTATTTCAAGTAATTCAGTATTCTTAAATTTATGCTTGACCGAAATCCCCCGTGATAACTTAACTTATCACTCTAGAACTCAGACTTATGCGACAAAGTAGAACCAAATTACCATACATAACAAGATAAGAGATAAGAATTACAAGTGTGTATTCTTTCCTAATAATGATTTTTGTAAGTAATCGCCACAGAAGTAGATACTTTTTAGTTAGGTTATTGAAGATATTTTTGCTGAATCAACTTCACTTATATATTATTATTAAATCTTATTAACCGGGAATAGGCATCACATCAAATTAGACTACTTAGTTTCGTTTGACTTTTATGATGTTATTTCGCTTTTCAAACAGAGATTTTCCTGGTACTCAGCAGTTTTAGTTCAGTTACAAAGGTACAATTTTTCTACACAACTATTTTTGAATAAGCAAAGATGGATGGTGGCTAGCAGTAAAATCCAGAACGCGCGTTTAGTCCTATTTGGGACTCATCAGCTGGAAATATCTGCATCCCGAAGGTGATGCTCACTACTGGACCCGAACCCAGTACCGTTGGTTTCAAACGCTATTGCATTATCCACTTAGCTACTGAGTCCTGATAGCCAATAGCTTGTGCGATGGGGTGAAGTTTAGATTCATTTTATATTGTTTGTTGTATCTTCAGTACAACACTAAATAACAATACTTTAGTATTTATTTAGGTCAATTTGTACATTTCTGTCGCAATGGACACAATGGATTAAATATGTAAAACATTTACTAGTCTTGTTGTACAAACTAACATTGACGGTTCTTAGAGTAGGTTTTGTAATGGAGAGTCTGACACAATACTTGATACTTTGCATTGTGATTTACATATCCTTACTTTACTGATAATTTATGATGACATTTTAAAATCTGTAAATAAAATATAACAGTCTGTAGATTATGATTCGTATCGAAATTTTAATCATTATTTGAAACCTCAATGGATATGTCTGTGATAACACAAAAGATTTTTCTGAGTAATTTATGAACTATGGGAACTGGTCACACTTTGTTTTGACCTAACTATAATTTATTATCAGTCCAGTTAATAATAATATGGTGAATTAGTTAGATAAATAGCTAGACGATTCATAAAAAGTGTGGAGTTATAAAATTTATTTGTGAAAAACATTCACAAACTGTCTAGATCCACAGTCTTTATTGAATACACTACAACCAATTATCATATTGACCCATTATGGATATGAGTTATGACTCATGCCATACATCGGATAAAATGACTGTTACAACTTCAGAGGAGATTTCGCGCATTATAGGTTTAACTGAGATAAAAGTGACAACGAAAATAATAACAAACACTGTCAATATATATTCTACAAGAATGTTGGTTGGTCATGGAATTTTTGTACGTACTGTTTCATAGTAGGTATGTTATTTTACTGGTATTTTTCCTGATAAATAATTTTAGAACTGGTAAATTGGCTGGAATATATATATTAGTTAGCGGTGAAGACATTGGACCCAGTCAAATAGGTAAGTATCACATTAACTAAAATATGTATAAGTATCGAAAGTGTTGATTATCATTTATATCGTCATTACTAAACTTTACTAAACTTTGCTACTGAAATTTCAAGGCATAAAATCTAACCCAAGACAGATACTTATATCTTATTTTGTACAAGCTGACAGTAATTTTGACCACCAAACTAACATAAGCTGAATAATTATTTCGGCTTTATTTGAGGACAAAGCCAAAAAACAATTTTGTCCTTAGCGTTGGAGAATTATACCTTCAAATTAATAATTGTAAGTGCTGCCGAATAAATTTTATATAACTGCTTTTATACATTTAGGATTAGTGGTAAGTAATGAAATGACTTGAATCAACTTTGAGGACAAATAAAGTTGTCAGATTAATAATGGAAATAAATACATATAATGTAGGGTGAGAGAATGAATAACAGTCAAATAGAATATTCGATAAAGGGTTACGCAATGCTTTAAAGAGACAATAAATATAGGAGTCAATTTTAATTAACTACTTACTTAAATAAAATAATTAGTCGAATCAAATGAATTTGGATTGTGTAGGGACAACGGGATTACATACGTAAACCATACTAAGCCATTTTATAATAGAAAATACTATTGGGTTTATAGGTCATATCAAGTAGAAACAGAGGCTACAGATACATTTTTTTATTCAAAACTTAGAGTTTTTAATTTGTATTACAATAATTTCTGCCTTTTAAGTGATTCAGATCCTGGCTACTGTTGGTGAATTTCTCTTTATGTGGTAGATTATTGAAAACGATCAATTATTGTTGACAACATGGTTCATATAAAATAAATGAGCTGTATAAAACAGTTGACAGTCTTAACTACGTCTTTGATTAGTCACTCTAACAAAGCTTTTAATAATACAGAAAAGTAAATTCTTTAAATGTCTCCTTATGTAACTTTCTCCACAGAAGTAAATATATTCGTAGATACAGAAAAATCTGGCTTATATAAGCAATTTGTACTTCAATCTAGATATTACCATTGAATGCGTAGAATTTACTAGCAGTAGTTTTCTTGTGTTGAACAATTCTTGAATTACTCTAGATTGTTCCAAAAATAATACTTCTTTGGGTACGTCATATATGAGTGGTAAGTACATAAACTGATTGTTCATTAATGACTAAAGATTCCTTAGTTTTGACTTTATGACCGTCTACTTAAAAACTTCCCAGCAAATCTTTGAACTCACAGATTATTCCACAAACCACTCATTTCCATCTCAACTATATCGAAAAAGCATATGATTATTATTCCATAATGAAGATTTTATTTTATATTGTAGAGAAACTAAACTTTCATATACCAAATCAGATTGTCTAATAAAACATTAAAATAACTTAAATGTCAAATTTAATTTTAATATTTAATGTTTTCTGTGAAACTATTTATACACATTTGAAAATATTTGTAATCATTTGAAACCTCAGTTCATTGAATAGATGTTTCACCTTAATTTAGTATTCCCAAGCACTACTCATTTTCATCTTTAACACAACACTTATTTACTTTGCAAAAAATATAAAGAAGACTGAAATACTGAGTTACAGATTTTAATTATGCAACTTTGTGGGAGCGAAAAGTGAATATCATTACTTTTAAATGATGTCCCCTAAAACTTCATTTTCCGTTAAAAATTGTTAATTTATGATTTACACATTCAAATAAGTTAGTTTTTGTTTTTCAGCTCGTCTGGATGTGGCATGTTCATACACAGGCAACGCTACATTACATCCATTTGCCTTCCGTGTTCACACTCATAGTCACGGTAAGTCTAATATGTACAACAATCTTATCATGATTTCGTCGGAAACCTTTTCATGCACATTCAAATAAATAAAAATTAAAAAAGTTACCATGATCTCAGTCCTCGTGAAATCAACCAATGTAGAATCTAAGCTTAGGTTCTGGTTAGGTAAAACTATAATACACTTCTTACCTGTAAGATACTAAGGATGACCTTGGAATTTTGAGCTACTTATTCGTTAAAAACACAATTTTATAGTCTTTAGTGATGGTAATCGAGGTACATTCATGTTAACAGATATCTTGATTTGTGGTCTCATCAGTACACTGCAAAAGCCCACACTGTTTAGTGGATTACTAGTAATATATTTTGGTTAACTGTGGGCCAATGAAGAAGAAACCAGTCTACAAACATTTGCTTCTTGAATACAATTTGAGTTAGATAGATCAGCCGTTCCATGTTTGCTTTTGATGTTCAGTCCATATCACTTCTATTTCATAATATCGAAACAGACGTTTTCTTATAAACTCTAACCAATTAATTAAGCCCTCTATTCAGGAACGACAGTTGTTAATATTACAAAGATTGCTATTCAACGAAATCAAAGCAATCATACAAATATGGAATGCCGACACATATTTCCTTTGTTCTAATCAACTCGCTACATACATTTATATACGATCGAGTTTAGTTAATATTTTACTTGTTAAAAGCTTTTACTATATGTTGATGCACGTAAAATTTTGTTTAAATTCATTTGAAGTACACTAAGATCATATCAATTATTATCTTCTCAATTTTCGTGATAACAACACAAACGTATCAGAATATTTCGAATAAATTTTAGATAGATCTACGTTATTAGTTCACATAGAATTTGAATACCTAGTTAATAGAATAAAAACTAACTATCGGGAGCACAGCATCCTTACTATATAAACTACTACTCTTGACTATTAACTTCTATTGGAATGAATTAAATAAATTACAATTCGGAATTTTTTCACTTCCTAAGTAGTTGCGTCTGTTAACATAGTTGCGATGCATGCTAAATGGATTAGAAAAATGCATTGTTTTTTTCTGCTTTGCTCGAATTTCTCCAATGTTTTTACAATCTATGTTCGGTCTACTAAACCATTGAAGATCCATTCCATTCATGCCTAAACTTTGAAGAAAACATGAATCAATTGATTTCCCAATAGATAAATGACCTCAAGGTTTTATTATTCGAATTATTCTTGTGAAAACTGAACTGCTTTCAAATAAATTGAATAGATCAAAATATGGATCAGTTTCTCTTCTAATAGACGTTTATCCCATCCTTTGTTTTTAACACATTTGCGTTTTTCAAATGAAAAAAGAACGCCCAAAATAAGTTCTCAATTTGAAGTATGATATCCAATTATCTATAATAATGCAATAATTGATTTAGGTTTTAATTCCGTGTGCTTATGTGTAAATTTCAGCCCCAATAAAAGTTTTGTAGTTCATAAAAACTATAGCATTTGATTAACTATACTTCAAAAGAGAACTGTTTTCGTGCAAATAAAAAAATGAATTTCATTTTAGATCATTGAGCCTAATGCGTTAATTGATGAAACTTATTATTTAATAGATAGTTACTGTTTTTCTAGAAGTTTCACCAACACTGTATTTCAATGATAATTACGATTTCTGGAAAATAAAACAGTGAGCTAAGGTTGGATAATATGCCATTTAAATTCATTTGTATCAAGACTCAGTACTGTCTAAAATCTTTCTATGATTATTTAAAAACTATTGAGTGAGTAATTTAAACAGCTCAGCGTTTTCAAAAACAAGAAAAACCCATTATGCCAGTAAAGACCATCCATCGATTCGAAATTAATACAAATTTAAAACGTATGCACAACAGGGGCTCCAGTTAACTACACATCCAACCATAACCTTCGTGTGCATATACAGAATACCTGATCCCTCGTTCTACTGTCGTTTTAACCTTTCTATCTTTCATAATCTATATTTTTTTCCGCTTCTTTCCAATTACTTTACATAATTATTAAAGTCATTATTTTATTTAGTTATTCTGTCCTTAATATGCATCAAATGGATAGTAATTTTTATATTAACATTATTTATTAGCCGTCGAATCATTGCGTAACTTCCTTTTAGTATTTGATTTTTGATATAAGACCACTTGAATTTTTCCCATAACTGTTTAACACTATTCTATTTTACTATAGACACAATATTTATGAAACAAATTGACTACGAATATGACTGTTCAGTTTAAATGAGACCAACGAAATAAGAAACTTTTTGTCACCATATCGTTTTCATTTCCTATTTAACTCAGTTTTTTTTATTAAAAGTATTCATTGAGTTTAATTCAGCAACACTATTTGTAGTTTACCAGTTGTTAAAAAGATGTATTATTCATATTTTGTTCGAAATAACAAAGACATTCTTTGCACATAGTTGTTTATTTAAAACAATTTTTTAAAGTCAACCACTAAAGTATCTAAAATGAACGTCAAGCTTCTTAAAACTATTTTCCGCAAATTGGTTCTTTTAAGCAGTATATTCAATCATTTAGTCGTTTGTACATTGTTATAACATGTCAGCTAAATGCTACTTGTTATATATGGTCGTCGCTGATTGTTATGTCGGAAACGCTTATCATTTATACTCGGAACGAGAGACCTCTGCAATTTCGACCACGCGAAAGCAAGAACACAAACACTGGTATAAGTAATGATTTATTAACCCTAAAAACACGACGACGACCCTAGTCGAAAATACACTTATTTATGTATTGATTGTACACTCATTTTGATTAATAATTAGGATGAAATCACATACATGTAAACTACTTAGAGTTATAACAAATCACATACTGAGCATAGTTCATGTCAATGGAATACATGAATATCGTATATTATACAGAATAAAATATCATACGAGAAAAGAAAACAAATACTACATTGAGTAATCATGACATTGAATCAAAACGGAAGTAATTTTGAACTAAACTCATAATGAGTAAACCAAGTGAATTTCGACTTTTCTTTCAGTCATATCATACATGTTTCAAAAATAAACACATAATGACTAAATAAAAACGAATTTGACTCATTCTAACAAAAAATTAAAACTCCAAAATCTATAATTTTCATTTAATTTAATACATACCTTCCGTAATTTTTTTTACTTTGCCAAAGTTACTAAGACATAGTTGATTATGGTCACAATTTTCACTTTCTACTTTTTCTACTAGGTGTTCTATCTAAAGGTTATGTTGTTGATGGAAATGAATCTTATCTTATTGGATCTAAATCACCTCAAGAACATCAAGTAAGCTACGAATATGGTTTATTAATCTATCGACAATTTTGAAGCTATATATACTGCCAATGATCATCAAAATGAGTTAAACAAATACCTAAACTTTATGAGAATGGATCATTATGAAGTTACATTGACGACTTGATGATTAATATGATCTGATAAATTATCTTCAATATTTTAAGTAGGTAGCTGAAATAATAGCAGGTTGCTTACTATTGCTTTAAATATTATGATAAATTCTATTGCATAGAATAACAGTTAGATATTATTATCTTGGACGTAAATGAAGTAGGAAGCAAGTATTTTTAATAAAGCATCGTATTTAAGATTACAAATCTAACTTGGTAATTGTACAATTTAAGTTAAACATATCTTACTGATTATTACTTTTCATCCTAATGAAGTATACATATCATTAAAGAAAAAGTATAGATTTAAGCATCATATCTATCTTATGAAATTTGTTACTTAACTTTCCATAATGAATGAATGAATGACAAATATCCTTCAAAGGTTACTGCAAACGATAAAGTTCAATAACATGGAAATATTAATTCAACTCAAGTTGGCCCCGTTAATTATAGAGATTTCTTTTAACATATCAACCACTAAAGCTTTACTCATAAAAAAACACCTCAAGAATCATTTAAAAATAATTTAAGAAAAGCAATTATCCTAATTATATGCATTGAAAAAGCTTTAATATTCTAACAATATATCACATAACTAAGAGTAGACAACATACTTTATTTTTTTCATGGAAAACTATTGTCATCATGAAGAAGTGACTTACATTCAGTTACGAAACGTCAGGAAAACATTTCCTACTCATTAGGTTATCATAAATAGTATATTTATTATTATCATTAAGTTTATGAAGGAGAAATTAATTAGCATAAAGAAGTAATTAATAAGTAACCAATTAGAATTATAAAGAATATCTTCTATTTGATCTTCATGTTGTTGTTTAATGTGATTCATTCACTTCACTTAAAAATAATGTTGATAGTGAATACAACAGAAGATGATAAAGTTAAAAGGAATTCGTGTTATTTATTCATATACATTGTTGCATAGTATCTTTTGAATGTTACATGTCTTAATCCCCATCTTTCTTTTTTTTCGCGTTTACTTTTATTCTGTAGACATTCTATCCAGTGCAAAATCAATCACTTGAAATACACAAACAAAATATAATTGTACGTTTAATAATCTTTTGTGTTTTTCTACATACTGATTTTTCTTTAAAAACACTCAATATCTTTCTCTTTTTAGGCAGCAAGGTGTATAATGCAAAATAATGAGAGTAGAATAATTCGAATGGGGTAGGTTTGAAATTCGATAATTTTTCTATAAATGTTAATTCATTTCAAATATCCAAATAATAAATTCCTGTTTAGTGAGGGCAGTGACAAAATAAAGGATTTTATAAATATCCTTGATATTAGTTCAATGATATTTGTAGTATTATACTCCAACTCATTTTCATCATGAATGACATCATCTTGAAGTAGTAGACATCTGAAAACATTGCTTGGATGTTTTATTCTACTCTCCAACTTTTCAACAGTGTAGACGCGCTCGAACCCAGGGCCATCGTGTTTCTTATTGAATGAGATACTATTTATGCACTGGGTTATAATGCACTTGTAATGTACTGCTTCAAATGTAAAGTAATTTCAAGTTAAGTCATTGGAATCAGTTGGAACTATACGACGTTGTCTATTCAAGGGTTAGTTCACTAACAAATCGAAGAAAACGCTTTGATTTTAGTGAATAAGTGTATAATTATTTCTAAATCGCGAGATAGAAAATACCATGTATGACAAAATTACTGTTGAAGTTTTTCACAAAGGCAGTTTTGACAGCAATTTAAACAGCTATGCTCTTTTCAGGCAATTGACTAATATATTGGAATGTTCAGAGAGCTACGAATGTTTTATATAGCTTACTATGGAAATACCTTTTTTAAATATGATATAATATACCTAATATATATGGTTGTGCAAAAATTAATCATCAGTTTATTATCTAATTGAATAAGTAAACATATACAAGAATCCATTTTATATGAATGTATACAACTAGGAAGTTGACTAATATCTGAAAAAAAGTCTGGATTTGTAGATAACTATTGTTGTTAGTTCCTCAGTTGCTTTAATCTCATGATAAGAAGTACTTTAAAATTGATATGTTCTTTTTGAAGCATTTAATTACAAATATTTTCTTGCTTATAAATGTTAGATCTGTGGACTTGATTATAGGAGAATTGACATAATCTATCACTACCGATTAATATAAAATAGTGGAGTATACCACTGAATTACAAATATATACTGGATAACGCGATGGCGTTTGAAGCTAATGGTACTGAGTTCGATTTTCGAAGTGAACATCAACTCCGGGATGCAGGTACACCCAATTGACGAGTCCCGAATAGGACGAAACGCGCGTCTTGTATTACACTACTGACCATTTTTGTTTATAGTCTAAAGATATTGTACTCTCATTGAATTCTAAATGTTTTCGATCCACTTCTGTGTAAGATTACGTTAGCATACTGCTAATAAGCCCCAAACAGGGATGAGAAAGTTTCGAAATTCTCTGATAAGTTCAAATATATGTCGACTCGAAAAATCGAATAGGTTAGTGTATTTACATGTTTTAGATAAAGTGTTTTTGAAATATGTTATTTTTATAATTGTATACTTTTCAATTTAGTACCAATCTCACTATGATGTCAAAAACAGAATAATCTTTAGTGCCTATAATAGGAATTTATTTTCATTTTATGTGGATATTTTAACTTCCATGAATTTGATTGTCATGAAACTTTATGAAAAATATGTAAATTAATTGAACTATTCATTTCTATATATTATTTATACAGAAATACACGAAATGATGAAATGTGCAACTTTTACATTATGTATTGGGTTACAAATGACAATGAACAACAATTATATGATACAAATAATCAAGTTTGTTATGTGGGTGATGGATCGGATATTTATGAGAATTTTCAAGAACTTTGTAAGTTTATATAATTGTATGGTTCTCTTTGTAATAATATAACATTTTTTCTTTTGAATGAAAGATTAAAAATTGTAACTATTACATAACTAGATAATATCTTATAAATTAAGATATTTTAACCCATAAATCATATTGAGATCTGTATATCGGTCTTAATGATAAATTGTTTTTATATAAATTGAACTTCGATGAAATACTTGTTCAAACTTTCTTATATTCTAAAAATTAGATATGATAATTAAGTATAGTAGTTTATTAATTTTTTTACAGGAATAGTATTATATAGATAAGGATATACTTAAACATGTTTCATACATCAGCTGATTCGGATTATTCGTTACGAATGAATATTAAACATTAAGCGATTAGTGTTAAAGTCAGTCAGTCTCAGTTTACAATTATTGGCACAAATAAAAGATTTTATTATTTTCAGAGAAATGAAGTATTCACTAACATGTCAATTAGTAATATTATATATAGGTATCAATGTCAAGATTGTATTTAATAGTTTCAAATAAATTGAGTAGTGGGAAGAAAGTTAATAAGAAATATGTTTTTGTTATATCTTAATGAGTAGAAAAATTATATTTCTGACGTTTCGTGACTTGATGCAGGCCACTTCTTCAGAGTAAGTAAATAAAAGAATTAACACAAATTTAGATAGTACAAATTAGGCTATTTAAACTTGTGTTAATTTAGTTCTTTTATTTACTTACTCTGAAGTGGCCCACATTAAGTCACGAAACGTCAGAAATACAATTTTTCTACTCAAAAGATCTACATATTACTAATATTTGATATATATATATATATATATCATTTTACCATATTTTGTTATCGAATGTAGTGAAGTATGATGAAATCGAAGCTTCTACAGCACAAGCTGTAAATTTGTAGGGGAAATATTTTATTTTACAGATATAACTACCATTTGTTTTTTATGCTGGAACACTTTCAAACCACCAGTACATACATGGATTTTAATTTACTGCTAAAATATAAGTGAATTAGTTCTCACCTACAAATATCCTAATTCCTCTATAATACATTTTTTGTTTTCATTTCCAGATAAAAAACTACTTGATAACTCATTCTTTCCAGATTTTGAATTTATGAATCCGGAAATAAATGACTTTTTTGATAATTTTGAAAATCCATATTTAAATCAACAAATTGAACCTTAAATAAATAGTTGTTACCGTCTTTTACAATAATAGAAGTAATGAATGTCATACAAACTAATGTGTATATGTATGTTTGTGTGTCAACTGTGATTTGTTATACAATTTCTTGTTTGTTTATTTGTTTGTTTTTTGTTTTTAACTTTATTTTTTTGTGTGTGGACAATTATCTGTGATTGTTTTGTCTGTTTTAACATTTGAGTTAATGTTGTCGTTTTTATTTTCTTCAAGTTATTCCTATCACTATGTTTCTGTTTATTGTATATCGTCAGCATGAGTATTTATCTATTTTCTCAAAAATAAACAAAAAAAAGAAAAAAAAGAAGAACAGACATTTATTTCAACATAAGATGTACTAGAGTGAAATATATTTATTTGGTTAATTTTTATTGACAGTTTATCAATGCAATAATATATATTAAAATAGATACGTTTGAATGATTGATTTCATCCGAATGTTGTTCATTTATTAAATAATAATTTATCTGATAAATCAGAAAATCTTGACAACGTAAATGATAGATCGGATTAAAAATATGACTTTATAGTAGATATTAACTGATCGCTATAGTTTTAGTTCATGACATTTAGTAAATTGATCAACTAGTGATAAATCCTATATAATGAATCATAAATCAATTCTGATCTCTTTAATTTTTTGTGTAATAAAATTGTTATCAGAATGGGTTTTGTGGAGATTTTTAAAAATTTCACAGGTTGAAATCATGAGTCAATTGAAGCTAGATGCGCACTGCTGAGGAGTTCCATACCAGGACGAAACGGCCGTTCAGTGCTTCCAGGTTTTCCATGGTGCTCTAGCTTCAATTGTATTGTTAAATTAACTTGGCCGAATAGGATGTTTTGTTTTTATTGATTAAATAAATCTGTTTCCAGGTGTTTCATCTGACTTATACAAAGTGGTATGTGTTATTATGAACCGGAGTTTCAGTGATAAACTGATTTGAGACTAGTAAAGGGAATTGTGATGGTGTACAAATCGTTACCAGTTATTCAGTTTTTCACATTCAGTATACCTTGTTCGTACAATACACAAATAATTCTTTTTTTGACTAATAGAAATTCATAAAGATTGATGAACTCATTTTCATCCGAATATCATTTGATTATTTTGTTAAAAGAAATCCTTTTTAGACAAAACATTTAATAAAATATGGTTTATGTGAAATAGTGTCAAAATCCATAAAATGATATGGATACGTATGTATTTTTAGGGGAGGAAAAAGTGAGTATAAAGTACAATAGTAAACGTAGTATTGATTTAGGACTAAAAAATAACAGCACTAAGTTTATTGAATGCGAGAAAAAAGAAATGTAAGCGAAATTAATTAGTGCACGTTGAGGATTACAATCAATACGAAAGTGATTAATTCTCGTCTCAAAAATGAGATGAACATAGTAGAAAAAAATGAAGTAATAAAAACGAGATTACCATGCTTACCTGATGGTACTCTATGAAGTTATTTTCGAGTTGTCCAGCAAGATTTAAGATTAATGAACAAAATACCCAGCATTGTACAGGTAATAAGTAACAGTCACATATATTGACGCACTTATAAGCGTTTCTTTAATTCCTGTGCATTGATTTTAGATAAGAGTAGTATTGTCTACAGACAATCTATTAAATTGTACAACTATTAGGCAGGAAATAGTTGAATGACTTGTAAAGAGAACGAACATTATGCTAATAAACAAATGGAAAACACTATCAATCAGATGTTTACTCAAATCGTTGAATACGACACAATCGGCCCCTGGAATAATATAAATACGTTAGCTGTAACAATAACCGTCAGAAGGCTATAGGATGTTAAATCTTCATATGTTCCATATTCACCTTTGTTGTATAATAGTAGCTTACTGGATAATATAGATTTAAGTAAAAACACATAATAAGTCATTTGAGTTCTTCAACTAGATCTTACATATATTTTAAAACACATGATGTTTATCAAATGATTTATTAGAACACTTTTTAGCTTATTATTATTACTGTTATTAGGACTTGTACTTTCTTTGTGTATTCTGTTTATGATAACTGATGAAATACAGAAAAATTAATTACCAAACACTGTTTTTACATATTGACAATGTTACTAGTTCAAATAAATAAGACCACTACCCTCAAAAACTTAATATTCTGCAAACTTCACTCACTGTAAACAACACTTTTACTTTTAATAAGATGAATTTTTTTTAGGAAATGAATGTAAGTAATAAATGAAAACAACTATACTTTTATTTTCTTTAGTAATTAGTACTTAACACAGAGATACATTCATAACCTGCACTAAAAAAAAGTTTATATTTCACAAAATAATAAAAGTAATATTTCTCAGAAATAACTGATTTCTTAAAGATTTAGGTATTTGATTGGAATAACAAATAGAATAGATTAAAAAGTGATTTAACGGAGTATCAATAACTCTTAGAATTCCAGATCTGAATTGTTAATTATAATCACAGCGTAAATTTTGAATTTTATAATGATACTTTTATGTAAATCATATTTAAAAATAATTCAGTTAAATAAAATATATTAGAGAATTATGTAATTCGTTCTTGTTCTACGAATTCAACTTCATGAATGACACTTGTTACCATTCTTCAATGAAATAGTTACTGAATTAATTGTTTTATCGTAAATATAACTCATTAAACAATGAAGTTTCAAATAATGAAGAAAATTGTTTTTAGTAAACAGGAGTAAAATATCATTTAATAAGAAACACATTGTAAAATGCGTATACAGAAACATACTACTTATAATAATTAGAAGGTACATATTTCAGTAGTATTATAAAGAACAATAATAACCACATATACAATAGACAATAATAATAAAACAGTATATAGATTATTTGTCTACATGATTCCAATGTAAAAAAAGGAACATTTAATGTAGATAATTTGTTTTAAAGAATCTGTTTCTATCCGATTAAGTGAAATGAAGTGAACATCATACTTTATCATTCATTGTTAATAATTTAAACAAATGATCAGTTTATACTAAAACTATTAATTTTCTTAATTGACTTAATTCCATATGTAATGTTTCTTCAGATATACGTAATTTATTTTCTAATACAGATTTTGCACTAGTTAATGTATCATGCATTGTATGAAAACCTTGACGCATTTCTTCACGTACTGTTTCAATTGTTTGACTATGATGTTCATATAAATCATCAGAAAGTTTATTCATTCGAGTTTCTATTTCCTATAATTGTCATAAAACAGAATTTTTTTAAAAAAAAACGATTGTTAACAAATACTATTTGCAAAATTATTATAAAATGCTCATTGGTTAAAATGATTGGGCAATTTTAAACTTGGCACTTCTTTTGTAGAATAAATTGTAGAGAGTCTTTGTAAAATAGGAAAATTTAACTTCGATTATACGTCATTATAAGTTGCTGGAAGCTACAGCATCTATTAATTGTTACAAAGTTTTACAAATTACAGTGTAATAAATATGAACACATTCTATTGTCATGAAAATCAAATAAACTCTGCTTCTAATCTTTTATACTTTAATGGAATTATTATAACATAAGTAAATGACTATCCCACAAAGAAAAAATTTTGAACTATCTATTTAAACATGCTCTTTATAATTATATAAGAATAAGAGAAACAGAAGTTTTAACAAAATCCGATTATAATCACATTGAAAGTTTAAGACATGATGTATCATATAAATTGAATCTACCTAACTGTCATATGAACAAGAAATGTTAAACAATCAATAAGGTGAAGACAAAAGCTGAACTGAAAGAAAACAAATAAGTAATAGACAAGTATCATCCATATTTTCTAAACATTTAAAATGAACTTCAATCACAATAATTTTTAGTTAGTGACAGTTTTATAAACTATTTTGTATCTACTAGGTGTCTAACGAACACCAGTTTTAATTATTCATTGATAAACTTATAAATTAGTTGATTAAAACGAACGAAAATCAATATTATGGCAAACGAATATTTTAATTATATTGACATGAATAGAAAGTTTTTCATCTCCATAACACAATATAAAGTCATTGAAATCTACTGACAATCACTAACATTTGAGATTTGGGGTTTATCTGTAAACAGATTGAACATATACATTGTAGAGTTCATTTAATTGTGTTCTTTTTTTGAGAAACTTTGCATTATTTATAAACAATTTTATTATTTCTATTGCATTTCAACAAACTATTCTACATCGAATTAACTTTTAGCATTTTTTGATACATTTATTTAACATTTAGACTATTCTTATGTTTAAACATTACTTATTTAACCGGTAAAAATTATTATATTTAGCTTCATATCACAATCTGATTGTGCGAGCTAGTAACTATATCCATTTGTCAAAACTAAGAGTAGATTTCAAATCTAAGACTTAATGATTGAAAATTAAACACCTTAACCACTGAGTCACTATTCTGATTTTTGTGACCAATTCTATTTGTGGTTAGTAAAAAAACCCAACTAAATGCTGATAAAAGATACAAAAAAAACTTCTTATCTAAGAATGGATTATGTAAAAATATTTGACTAATGTTTACCAACTAACGTACGGTTGTTTATCAATTCTGTAAAAATGATCTATCAAATAAACCAACAATACTGATGAAACTCTATTTCGATCTTACGAAAACTCTCTTCTGAGCATAAAATATATTTGATAATTAGTATTGTCTATTTATTTATTTGAACACATAAATACTGGTACAAGGAGACACCAGATACATATGCGCCACACAAATCTAATGAGATTTGTGTGAGGGCTGTGATACTACCCGGGTGCCCAAACCGAAACAGGTGGTTTTCTTAGGGAGCCATACCCAAGGCTTTCGACCTAAAGGTCTGATCCACAAGGCAATGGAGCATCGTAAGAAGATGCAGTCCAATGGTAGCCGGTGACCGACTATTGATTCATACGCTATTTGTTCACTCAGGGTACTGGAGGCCGTGTGCACCATTTGTTTGAAATCAGGGTTTTCCAACTCCCCTAGGTGGACTCTCCATGTCCACCAACCCGGTTAAAGCGCAGGACACTCACTTTTCGTCCTCTCAATTTTGTAAACAACACCCCCGCCACGAGAAGGCAGTGAGTAGGACTTTACTGGCAGAGGCTATATACGCGTGGCCATGTGAGAGCATTTGGAGAGGAAGAGCGGACTCTCCCCACTCTCGGCCGTACAAGGTCATCTAACAAATGAATTTGTCACACAAATAATCAACTAGATAATTTTATGTTATACTTTAAATGTTCTCAAAACTTGTTGTTTAAAATTTGATGAATTTGCTTCGATATTATCAACTCGATCGTATAATTCTTCATCAATTTTTAATTCATTTGTTTTCTCTTCAACAAATGCCTAAATAAAAGAAGAAATAAATAAACATTATATTTCATTACATTAAAACAAATAATAAGTTAATGATGAATAATTTTAAAAAAATATAAATTAAGTCACAGTATAACCGATGATCATTTAGACTTACAATCGAATTTTACTTGTATAGTTTAGTGTTTTTAGAATGGATTATCAATGATACAATGAGTTGATTTATGGAAATTTATTTATTGTAATAAATAATCTTCATAAGAAAGTCGACAATATTTAGAAAACAACGGAAAATACAAAAAGTATTAAATAAACTTTTTCACCGTAGTTTGAGATTATTTAGCATTGCACATTCACCATCATATAACAGAAATAAGTTTTCTTACGAACTATTCAATAGTAAAACTAATTAATCAAAGTATGAGATTAACCATATGTTAAGAATAGTTACAGTGTTATCGATTGTTCACAAACATTTTTGATATAATGCAAGACTGTAAAAAAAAAACGTTTTATGTCGATCATTTTTGAGATTCTGAGCGTACATTGCTGATAATTCATCATCTATAAACATCATCAATTTAGAGTTTCTTGGTTTTCACTTATTCTTTAGATTATATTAATCAATCACAAATACTTTTTTGTGTATATTTGAGAAAACTTGCCATCAACATCAAGGTACCGTTTATATCAATCATCCAATTTAAATAATCAATAAATCGAAGATTATGTAAGTTCAATCGAAAGCTTTGAATAGTTTAAGATGTAATCAAATTGTGATGAGTGATGTAATGTATGTAGGTGTATGTTAAATTCATTTAATTTTAATCACTGAGATGTTTAACAAATGTGATCATATAAAAAAGACTCACCGTCACATATTAAAAATGATATTTAACATCCTAATTTGACTGAACAATCATTTAGTACATCGTTGTTGCATGATATTTTTGACCATTACCTTTAAAAAGCTCGAATCAGACTAGAAAGTAAAACTTTACTGTATTCAATTTTAATTGTTTTATTTTTTGCACATATATTTTCCTTCTAAATGTCTTTTATATAGTCGGTGTCTAACTAGTAATGATTATTAGTTTAAAATTGGACGAAAGTTGTTATAAAATATGGACAATAATCAATATATGTTAGCACAGAATTAACGAGTAATTTGTATAAATATTATCTATTGTAGTGAACGATGAAAATAAAATTAAACGAACATCGTGTTTTCTATCTGTTTAACTCATTCCCGAGTATGAAACTGAGAATATATGTTTATTTAATATGATAACGAAGATTTGTAACTTAGGTGAATGCTATCAGTTGTATAATATTTTATGAACAGGTTGGTCTGATTACAGCACTTCCATAGTCATTCTGAAAAACACCACTAAGATTTAATCAAAGTAGAAACAAGCCTACAGAACATAACACAACTAGAAATTTATTCCGCATTTTAGAAACAGGAATCTCAATGAAGCTAGTAACCATATAAATATAAGATATAATAATGAATAAAACTGTTTTACTTATTTGTAAATTTTATGCGTCCTTAAAATGTATGAATAGATAATGTACTTATATACATGAGAATAAAAACATTTTACCCTCAACTATTACTGAAACAAATAGATTTGAGAATTAAGCTTTTATGTACAATTAGTTCTATTAGTTCCATTGATTTTTTAAAGAGTTTTCTCAACCAAATGTACTTAAAACTTATTTAGATATCTAATAATTTATCTGTGTAATCTATATGTTTCCCATAAAGTTCATATTTCCTATATGTATCTAAGTCCTTACAAACAGTTTAAATATATAATAGGAGATGAATATGACACACTGCATCTGTAAAAGTACAGACATTACTTCAAATTACACTATGCTTTGATTAAGTAATAGAAATAAAGTTTTCTACCTGTGGATTAAATTTACTAAAATTTACCAAAAATTCAATTAGAAAATTATTACCAATTAGTTTAATCAAAGGGAAATAGCTGTTGACAACAATTTGATAACGATACAACTAAATCAACAGTTGATATGTTGATTAATTGGCTCAATAGTATCATACTTCAACAGTGTATGGGGTTATAAGTTTTCCAATCAAGGGGTTTTAAACTTTGTTGCTAATGATTGTTGATAATGACAATGAACTTAAAGATGATTATCCATTTGACTACTTATTTTGTTTTCAAATGTCAAAAATGCTAAATTAACAGATCATTTAATTTTTTTGAAATCACGGAAAAGGTACTATTATCTCTTAATCTATCAAGTCGAATACTATTATAACAGTAAACAAAGATATTTTCAATTGCATAAATAATTACATCTTTTTTTTAATATTGAAGTATACAATGATTTATGATAACGTACTGAGAAATCTGATCACATCATTTAACGAAATAAATTAACCATGCCTCCTTCCCCCCCCCAAAAAAAAATAACACATTTAACTTACTAAATGAAGCTATCATTATTGATATTTTGAATTAATTTTAATTAAATGAGCTAAAATGGAACTGTTACCAATTTTAACTACACCTTTGCTTAACCACACTAGGAGGTACTCACGAGCCTGAATATACAAATTCCTAGAACATTTGCCAATATAGCTTGCTCCACAGGACAAGTTGAATTGATAGATGCGGAAAGAAGTGGCTAGTCTAAGCAATTTATCTTTCAACCTCGGAGTGATCATTGGACGTGTGGGGAACATTAATTGTAATTCACCTGTATTAAAAGTTCTTTGGATTGATTTGCGTAACTTTAGTATTAGCATTTCACTAGGTGCATCACCTCTGTATTGTAAGCGTATATACAGAGGCTTTTTGTTCGTGGTTAGGCATTCCTCATGCTTTCTTTCATTGGTTATACGTTTATTTATAAATTTCTCCGGATACCTGTTTTCTTTCAGGGTCGTGCACCATACATTTGTTTCGTCTTTAACCGCATCTAGAGAGCATGTGGTCTTGATTCTATGGTGAAGTATTCCTTCTGTATTGCCGAAGAACAAAACTAGAAAATTTTGTATATTGGCTCGTTCAGGTAGTTTTCTTGTTTATGTTTCTTCTTAATGACCCATCTTCACTCCTTGTGAGTAGAACGTCTGGAAAGGCTATTCTACCTCCATTTTCTTCCTCACATGTGAATTTTATGGACAGATGAACTGCATTGAATCGCTCAAGTGTTTCTATCAAGCCAGTATGGTCGTTACAAAGGATACATGTATCGTCAGTAAACTGAAAACTTGTCAGTCTGTTATGCCGGTGGGCCGTTTTCTGGTTTAGAGCGAAGATTTTCAGCCAATATGGGGCACCTAGAAGTGAACCCATCGCGACACCATCTATTTGTCTATACATTTCACCATTGAATTTGAAATGTACTTTCATAGTACATTTTAGTAATAATTCTTTGATGATCTCCATAGAGATTGTTGTCTCTATTTCTTGTTCTCTAAGTTGTTTACCAATATATTCTACAGTCTCTGAGTGGGATATTTGTGAACAGTGACGTTATGTCAAAGAACATCACCGTTTGACCTTTAGTGTTTATGTTTTTGATTTTGTCGACGAGCTGGAATACTTCCCTAATAATATGCTTCACTAGGTGTTTGTAGAGTGGTTTTAAAATGGTTACTAACCACTTTGCTAAACTATCATAAGAGGAATCGTACCAAAGGCTCATCGTATCTAGAACAGCCACTTCTTTCCGTATCTATCAATTCAACTTGTCCTGTGGAGCAAGCTATATTGGCAAATGTTCTAGGAATTTGTATATTCAGGCTCGTGAGTAACTCCTAGTGTGGTTAAGCAAAGGTGTAGTTAAAACTGTTAACAGTTCCATTATAGCTCATTCAAAACAAACGGGATATACGGCCAACATAGAGAAATCTTTCACAATAATTAATTTTAAGTAAAAAATCACGGTGTTATATACTGAAATGATTTTTGAAAATCATTGAAAAAATCATTACCGACGAATATGACAAATCTGATAACATGATATTTCAAAGGAAACTTAAAGAGTATAAGCACAGTTAAAACTGTAGATTACAAATACTAAACGAGGATCTTTTTAACTTAACGGAAATCTTAAACATCAACTTTTAATTCGATTTTCAAAATAAATAAAAAACCTGGACGAGAAAAAAACATATTGAAATGGATATTCAGGAATAAGAATAGTTATTAAACTAAGTAATAACGGAATCAATAAAAGCTATAACGTCTCGTGAATAAATTAATTACAATGTCATCAATAACTGAGACCAATACTGACTTATTTGTATCATAATGTTTCTCTAGGTTAAAAACTTGCTAGATTTTTTTATGTACATAGTTGTTATGTACACAATACTACTAAAAAGTACACTTACTATTAACCTCTAAACATTATGTTAAAACATACCACTAAATTTTCAAGTATAAATATTTTATTTATTATGATATTGTGCTCAATTATGACCAAAATCAGTAGTTAAGCTGAAAATTTACTTTTACATTATTGAAAATTTTTAAGCCGATATGATTATGTAACAATTGAAATTTTTCAGCCTTCCATTTGGGAATAATGTTTCATTACTAACTCAACCTGTGATAACTGCTTTGGATATTATTAGCTCAGTAAGGAATGGATCACTGTTGATACATTGGATAAGATTCAAGAAAGAAAGAACAAGAAAACAGCAATCAACAGCAACCGAACAAGAACAGAAAAAGCCAAGGCACAAGCTGAATATACAGAAGTAAGCAAGCAAGTGAAGAGGAGCATCAGAACCGACAAACGTCAATGTGTGGAAGATCTGGCAATGACAGCGGAACAGGTTGAAAGATGAGGAAACATGAGATAATTGTATGATACAACAAAGAAGCTCGCTACAAATTATTACAAACCACCAACAATTGAAGGGATTAGCATGGCCATAAGACAAATCAATAGCGACAAAGCAGAGGAACCAGACAACATTTCAGCAGAGGCACTGAAAGCAGACATAGCAGTAACTGCAAAGATACTTTACATTCTCT